TTAGGGTTTAGGGCTGTAGGGTTTTAAGGCATAGGGGTTCAGGGTTAGGGGTTTAGGGTTTAGGGGTTTAAGGTTCTGGGATCTTGGGTTTCGGGCTACAGAGTTTAGGGCTTTAGGGTTTTAGGGTTTAGGGCTTTAGGGTTCAGGGTTTAGGGGTATAGAGTGTAGGGCCTAGGGTTTAGGGGTTTAGGGTTTCGGGGTTTAGGGCATTAGCGTTCAGGGTGTGGGGTTGATAAACTTTTGCTTCAGGGATTATGGTTCAGAGTTTAGGGTTTAGAGTTGAGGGTTTGCCGCGGGATAGCGTAGTTGACAGTATCTTACGACAAAGCTGCGTCGAGTGCATCGTACTATGATGGCGATGGCCATGACAACTGCTCCTACTAGTACTCCTACTAGAAAGCATAATAAGTTGCTGGGTTCTTGTTAAAGAACTGATATCAAACCAAACACATGATATGGAACCATATCTCTTACGACGATAGATCCAAATTATTGTAACGTAAACTGAATTCCTTAACACGAACCCAGGAATAGTATAACTAAGCCTGAACACATGTAGTAGCTCTTAGGAATCACCTGAACTCCCGCAAAAAAGCCCTAAACAGCAACGCAGCTTAAACCCTGAACCCTTCTGAAACCATTATTATTGCACATCCCTTGAAGGAACCCTCATTCTTAAAGATCCCATTGAAGGAACCCTCATAGTTCCTTAAGCTAAGGTCCTGAAGTCCTGAATGAACCCTGGCCAGGGGCCTTCCGGAAGCTGCAATGTGAAGCGTAGGTGCACGAAGTCGTCCTGGGCCACGTCGTGAGATTTCGCCAAAGGCTAGACTTTGCCAACAGCCCTAAAGCCCTAAAGCCACAATATCCTAGTCCTAAACCACCCTAAACCCTAAACCCTACACCCTATACCTAAAGTCCGAAACTCTAAGACTCAACATAACCTAGAGTCCTGGAAACCCTAAACCAAGTCCTACCTATAGTCTCCATTGTAGTTCCTCTTTTTTGGTTTAACAAATTAGATATTAAGGATTTTATAAGGTATCCCCAAAAAAGGAACTACAATGGAGACTACAGGTAAGCTCTAAAACCCAACGGTCTTGCTACCTTGCCTTGGAGCTGGATGCCACGGTGATGCGATCTACAGCCCCACTGCTGTCTTGAAGGTCACCAGGTGCGGCGCCTGCGACTGTCAGGGCACGCGCTGTCAGGACTCGGCTTAGGGTCTGGCGTAACCCTAAACCCTAAACCC